CACCCCCCTGGGGACACAGGGGACATTTCTCACTCTGCTCAGGGGAAGTGGCTGAGTCCTGGTGAATCTGGAGCTGTCAGAAATGACTCGCAGGCTGTGCCCTGCTGTGTGATCAGGGTGTGGATTTTCCCCGCTGTCTCTGATGACCAAATTCTCTTCTGTCTAACGCTGCTGTAAAAACCCACAGGGAGGCTGAAGGATGTTCACAGTGAAGCTGGAGTTGTGTTTTTGCCRCCATTTAGGGTTTGTAAAGGTAGAAAATGCATCACTGAGAAGTTCCCCTCTCTTTTAAAGCCCTTCTTTTAAAGCATCAGCTGGAGGGGTCACTCTTCCAGCCGATTTTCTGGGTTTGGGGCTGATTGCTGTCTCAGCACCTGATAGCAAGAGTTCCATTTCCCGTGGCTGTGGAGGTGCAGGGACATAAAATGCAATGGAGTGGGCTGGTGCAGGGGCTGGAACAGCAGGTTCCTGCAGCTCTCTCCCCAAGCCTGCCAGGTATTTATATTACTTTTTATTTCTCCTGCCTGCAGTTTTSTCGGCAGCGGAGGAAGCTGAGCGTGAAAGGCACCTTGCTGTGGGAAAGGTGCAGGGGATGGAGAGGCTGAGGGGATGAGCCCTTGGATGCTCAGATAACTCTGTGCCTRTGTCAGCATTGTGGCAATCAGGTGGATTTCCATAGCAGGATTCCCAAATTCATCCCCTCAGCCAGTTCATCTGCTCCTCCTTCAACTGCAGGAAGCCAGGAGAGCAGCAGGGGTGCATTCAGCAGCTCTTGGTGCTTCTTCCTTCCTGTTTTTAATGTCTCAGACKCCTTTGTGGCCTCTCTGAGTGAATTTAATCGAGTTAAGGATGAGATGTCAGCTTTTGGGACTGGCATTTATGCGAGCTGAGCTGCTGGAGCTGCCAAACCATGCCTGCAGTGCCGAGGGATGAGCAGGGATAACACAATCCCTGCCTGGTTATTCCTCAGCTGACAAGTGCAGGACAGGGATGTTCTGCTGAGCTGATTCACAGCACATTTAAAACCCCTGATTTCTGGATAAATCCCGATTTCTGTGGGACACCAGCTCGGAGGGCTGGAGCTGTGATTTCTGCTCTCGAGGGTGGCTGAGCTGTGCTCTTGGTGTTTGGGATGGATTCTGAGCCCTGGGTACGCTGAAGAACAGAGTAAACATGTGCTTTTTAAGGATGGGGAGGGCAAACAGGGRATTTGGGTGGATTGCAGCTGCAGCAGGATTAACCTGGGCAAAAGTGAAAAGGCAAACACAGCGTGAGTGTGGCTGAGAGGTGAGGCTGCTTTCCCTGCACACCCTGCACCTTCCACATGAGCCTTGTCCCTTCTCTCAAACACCACCCCCCTTCCCTTTCCTCACCTCCTCCCTGCTTTCCTTCCTTCCTTCCTGGAGGGAAAATGGATTGACAGCATTCCTGGGCTCTGTGCAGCCCCACTAAAATGAAACATTCTCTCTGGCACCACTCAACAAGAGCCTCCTGTCTGGGGCTGTCCCACGGGGGCAGGAGCTGGGATTCTCCCCAATTCACATTACAGCTCCCATTGTTCTGGGAGCAGGATCCTTCTCTTTATTTCACCGAGTAGCATTTGCATTTCATTGCTAGGGCTGCTTTTATTAATGCTCCAGTGTTTCCCTGGCTCGCAGGGGAGTCAGCGAGCCAGGCTGTTYGACTCCTGCAAGGCTTTTAGTCCCTACCAGCTTTTCCCTAAAGTCAAAAGCTTCCTCTTCTCGGTGACCAGGGCTGCTGGGGAGGATTTGCATCCAAATGTAAACACCAGCGTTCATTGTTCTGCCGTGTCCCAGCCCCGGTTCTGTCTGTGCAGTTGTTTAAATCAGCATTTTCCTGCATCATTTGCATGCTGGGTGCCTGGATTCTGCTGCTCTCTTGGCTCCCAGTGGCTCTGGCTAAAACTTCTGGSGGTGCCTGTCTGGAAAACAAAAGTGATCCCAAACTTAGGAAAACAAAAGTGATCCCAAACTTAGGAAAATAAAAGTGATCCCAAACTTAGGAAAACATAGCGATACCAAATTTAGGAAACAAAGCAATCCCAAACTTAGGAAAACAAAGCGATACCAAACTTAGGAAACAAAAGTGATACCAAACATAGGGGAACAAAGTGATACCAAACTTAGGAAACAAAGCAATACCAAACTTAGGAAAACAAAAGTGATCCCAAACTTTGTTAAACAGCTCACCCCTAGAGGAACAACAGTCCTTTCTCTTTCTCTTTGCCCCTGCTGCAGAAATCCCAGGCCATGTTGTGGTGGCTTTCTTGCCCTCCCAGCCCAGCATGGAAAAGGAATATTCCAAGTGATGTGGAATAYATCCCAGATGTGCCCAAGCTCTGGGATGGCAGCAGCTCTTTGGCTTTTGAATAATTTACAGCTCAGTCCCATAAACAGGCTGGCCTGAGAGCTGCTGTTCCKAAATCAGCCTGGCTGTGCTTTCCTCGAATTAACAAGGAAAATATGCGAGCAAACCTGGCCCTGGTGGTGGCTGCTGCTGCTGCAGAGGCTGCCCTGTCCCCCTGAGCTGTGGCAGGTCCCCGTGGCTCCTCTGCTCTCCAGAAGCCAGGAGGGCATATGAAATATTCATAGAGAAATATTCATGGAGAAATATTCATGGAAAAATATTCATGGAGCAAAAGGGGATCCCCTTTCTGTGCAAGGGAAAGGGGCTTATCCTGCAGCAGCTGCTGTGAAATCCACGGCACAAAACAGCAGATTCCTCTGGGTTTTACACCAGATTGGCACCGAGCTGAGGGAGGAGAGCCCCAGGGATGGGGAGATGGAGCAAAACCCTCTGTGAACCACCAACAAGAGCTGGGAGGAGCCCAGGGAGTCTCCAGGAATAAAACTGATGGGATCACAGCATCCAGCATGARCTTTCTCAGCATTTAATCCTCTGGAGAGAGGCTGTGCCCTGCCAGCAGCTCCTATCTCATTCCATCCCCCTCCATCTCCTTTTCTCCGCTYGTGGCAGAGGCTGAGAAGTCTTGTGCTGGTTGAAAACAGCCCAGGGAAGCTGCAGAACTGCCCTGGTGAGAGCTTTCAGGATTTTATTTTATTTTTATTACAAGCCCTGTGGCATTTTGTGTTCTTTTGCATAAATCCCGGCTGCTGGAAATGGGGGCACTGAATGAAAGCTGAGAAACTTGTGCTTAAGAAAAAAAAAAAAAAAGAAAGAGTTTGGTTTGAGTCCTTGTGGCTGGGACACATTTTCAAGTCTCTTTTCCCTGAGTGTGATGCAGGATTTGGAAAAACAGAAACAAATCCCCCTCACCCAATATAACACAGCTTTAAAAATGGACTTTTAAAAGCTATTTGTGACTGGGAAATGGGACCGAAATGGGATTTGCTTGCTTTGAACAGAATTTTCACTGATAATTCTTACAACGTGGGAAAGAAAAACAACAGCTCTTGTGTTTTGTGTCCCTCTCGAGGGCTGTGTGTTTGGGGCTTTTTTTTTCCTTTCCAAAACAACAAAAAGAAAAGCCTGAGGCCTCAAAGGAAGGGAGGAACTTTTYATGTGCTGCTGCTGCTGAATACCTCTGCTGTTTCCGAGTGTCTCCTCCCGCAGACGGGGCGCTGATAAGAACGGAGGGGAGGAGAGTTTTGTTCCGTGTGAAGAACTGGAGCTTTCCTGCAGGAAACTTCTGCTCCCAGGGGAKGGTGGCTGTGTCCAGACATCCCAAAAGGATGCAGGAAACCCAAAAGCCTTCCTCCAGGGACCCATCGAGCTGCTCCAGCACCGAGAATCTGCAGGATTCTCTGGAAATTAATTAAAATGTAATTTGGCCCCAGGAGTTGAACCACAGGACTGTGCCGATGGTGGGAGAACTTTTCCAGGGAAGCCCCGGGGAATTCTCTGTCCCTCCCTCCTTCTCTGTGCCCCACGGTTGCCATGGCAAACGGGGTTTGGAATAAACAGCCATTTCCTGGAGATGAGAGCAGGGATTGCTGTAGGGGCAGGTAACCCWGCCTGGCTGGGGTATTTGGGGAATATTCATTGAACCAGCTCGGGGTTTCTCCTCCCCAGCCGCTGTGTGGGCACYGAGCTCCCCAGCTGGCACAGGCACSGGCTTTGCRCTGCTCTTTGTTCTCCCCTAAAAAACCCTTTTTGCATTTTCTGTGGGCAGGCCCTGGCCTGCTCAGCCGRGCACTTTTGGGACCGCTCCCCCTTTGATATGGATGTTGAGTGGAGATTTGGGCATTCCTGAAAATCCTGTAGC